AGCCCCTAGTTGCGTCCTTGCTCCTAGTAGCGATGCCCTTTGCTCCTGGTAGCGTCCTTGCTCCTAGTAGTAAGGCCAGGAGCCCCTAGTAGCGTCGTTGCTCCTATCAGATCGGCCTGACCAGGCCCATGACCAATGCACACCGGAAGAGTGTGAATGCGGCAACTCCCGGACGCACGTCAGCCGGCGAAAGTGTTTTTTTAAGCACAGTCAGACAACTGCAGTGGGTTTGGAATTTGAAGTTTTTTTCTGCCAGACAGTTGGTTTTGGAAAATAGTTGGAAGAATACAAAACAGCAGCGTTTTGGAGTTTGCTTTGCATGTTGCTTTGCATATTGTGAGGGATCAAATGGATTTAAAAACGTGCATGCTCAGGTCAAACATGCTGCCACAACAGTCGATGGAAGCCCTTGCTTCTATTGCGTCTTGGCTTTTTGGCTTTTCACAACAAAACCTCCTTTGCATGGATTTTGTGATATCCATGGACCCCATGGACGACTTTCGACAGGCGAGCCAATCGGTGGCGGCTTCGGACAGTCCAAAGCTAAGAAATTTATGCAACAAATGCATTCCTGGCATCGCTACGAACGGAGCAAGGGCTCTTGGCCGTACTACTAGGAACAAGAAGCTACTAGGGGCTCCTGGCATCGCTACGAATGGAGCAAGGATGCTAAGGAATTGGCCATTGGGGCACTGATGCTGTAGCTGCTAGTGCTGGCATCCAGTAGTTTTTCCTCCCATGCAACGAACGTTAAGGAAAAGAAACGTTTCCAGATAATCTTGTTACTAGCTTCTTGTTACTACTAGCGTGGCACCTGCTACTACTAGCGTGGCACTTGTTACTACTAGCTTCTTGTTACTACTAGTAAGCAAAAGCGGATCATATCAGAACAAAGGCCTATCATCTTACCGCTCAGTGGAGTTCTGCTGCTGGTCATTTGGCACTTTGGAAGGACAAAGGGCGCTGAAAAAGCGTTCACGTGTAGTCCGTTCTTGCAACCAAGAGGGTAGCAACAAGGCATCGTTGAGTCCGTTCTTTAAGTCCAAGACCGCGTTTGAAAGCATTGTTGAAACTATCGCTAGTAGGTTGGAGGACATCACTAGTAGGTTGGAGGCCATCGCTCTTAGGTTGGAGGCCATCGCTGCTAGGTTGGAGGCCATCGCTGCTAGGTTGGATGGCCTCAGGTTGGAGGCCATCGCTGCTAGATTGGGAGCCATCGCAAGTAGGTGTTTCTGCAATAGGGTGTTTGTTTTTATGTTTGTTTTGTTTAGCCATTCTCCGCTTCGCAGGAAGCCGGTGCGTGGGAGCTTGCGGCTTTCAAGACGACAGGGAGACCGAAGCCGGGCCATCCGAGTCCAGCAAGAGCCGCTGAAGTTTTATGAGGAGGCGCAAGACGAGCGTCCACTGACTGATTTTTGTCGATTCGTCGTCGTGGTCATCAAGGTAGACCAACAAGTGCTGAAATTTTTGCGAGCAGAATCTTTGGCGTTTCTCTTGGTTTTCTTGACGGAACCGGTTTTAGGTTGGACGATTTAGATTGGTCCTGCTGAAGGGAACGTTTCACAGCACATTTGGAACATTTGGAACACGGACGATGGTGACGATCAAGGTGTTTCTTCAAACCACTGGCCCGACTTCGTCCCCAAACACTTCGCCGTTTCTGCAAAGTCTGCCACACCAAAAGTGTCAGAGGCCTCCAACCTATGCAGACTCCGAACTGGGCAGGTCACAAGCGTTCGATGGGCAACCCAAGAGCGATGGCCACTTATTAACAGAAAACAACAGAGAGCTACATGGCAAAGGATTGCAAGGCTCCAAAAGAGAAACGGTGATGCTGCGCAGCATCGGCGCATCGACTTGCTGCTTGAGCCCTTTCCAAAGAGCAATGCCGTGTTCCAAAGTGCTGAACACAAAAAACCGTGAAAAGCAGGTGAATCGATCTCAACCGGAAAAAGGATTCAACCAACTCACGGTACAGAACTACGTCACCCAACACAAATTCTAAGAAACTTTCATGTTCAATTTTGGTCCCTCATCAAGGTCCTAGAAATAAAGAATTCATTTGTGGTAGCAAACGTGTTTTTTGACGATGCGTGCTGTGCATTGAGTGCAGGTTCTCCTGACCATTGGGGACGCCTTTGATTTTCTTGCCCGGACCTCCAGCACTTCGAGTTGACGAGCACAAGAACCTTTCTACGTCAGAAATGGTTTTTTTTCTTTTGGATGCTACTAGGAACAAGTGCATCGCTAGTAGTAACAAGTGCCACGCTAGTAGTAACAAGTGCCTTACTAGTAGTAACAAGTGCCTTACTAGTAGTAACAATGGCCTCCAACCGTTCGTAGCGTCCGATCGCGAACGGTTCGGTAGCGATGGCCTCCAATTCCTAAAAGCTTCGTCCGTTCGTCACCTTTCGGCCACCTTCCCTTCTCGTCCTCTCTGTCCGTCTTAGACATCTTTAGAGCTCTTTTTACTAAACGATTCACTTGCTTTTTTCACGGGTGCCTTGGCCTTAAGTACGTCAAGCACAGAAAACGCTCAAAGCTAAGTCTCAGAAAACGTATCTTTGGATTCCTTCGGCAGTTTGTTTCGGGCTTGTGTGCGCACACGGGTTCTTAATGAAAGTGCACCCCCTGTGCATAGATCTCACACTTAGAGGTTGATGCGGCTTGCGAACTGCTG